GAGAAAATAAAAGCTGAAATTTATTGTTATACAATTTTCCTGCTAACACTTCATAACAGTGAGAAAATTAGTTCTGTAAGAGCTTTGTTACATGGAGTTATCCACTGGTTACACACAAAAAAATTGCTGTCAATGAATGAATGAATGGGTATTAAGCTTCTCAGGCATATGTTGCTTATTGATTGGCATTCTACACTAAAGATATTTCCTTTTCCCATATTTGTTTACTTATTATTTTATTATATTTACAATGGACTTGTGTATTCCTATTTTATTCAGTGTTGTGTATTGTGATAATGTCATTATTTGTTTTGATGCTCTAATTATACTATATTTGGCCAATGTGAACCATTTCAAGATGGCATCTTTCTGATATGTCTCCATCATATTTTTAGTATGTTCTTAGTATCTCCCACAAGATATTCCAAGTTCACCTTGTACTTGTAAAGTTTGAACATTTCTCCAAGGAGACCTGATTTCATTTGGTAGAGCGTGGTATTTGGAGACTAAGATCTTGGAACTAATTATGCTTCTTACTCAACTCTAAAATGAAAATGACAACACTTACTCTACCATACCCTTTCTAACCACTACAGCATCCTCCAACTTGTTTTCCTGCTTGCTTTCTCTCTTTCACTCTATACCAATCCAGTTATTCTTATAAGCCTGAGGCATCTTTTAAAAAAGTATATCAGATCATTTCATTCATCTTCTTACACTCTCTAAGGTCTTCATTTTGCATTTTTAATTAAAAAAGAAGAGAGGAAGAAAGCAACTAAGCTAGCTAGCTATCCTGCAAGACTCAACTTGAGTTGTCCTGTTCCTGCCTCTTTGACTTTTATATTGTATCATCCCCCCCCACCCCGTAACTGTATTCCAATCACAATGACCTTCCCTCTTTTCTTCAGAGACTCCAGATTCATTCCTGTCCCCACAGCCTTTGCCCTTGCTGCTCCCTCTGTCTAGATTGATCTTCCTCAAATTTTCTCCAAGTCAGCCTTTTTCATTATTGGGGTCTTAGCTTGAAACTCAGTTCTTCAGAGAAGCCCTCCCCATTCCACTTATTTAACGCCGAGAAGCTAATATGAAACAAACACAAACAAACACACACACACCACTATTTCTCATGAATATAGACACAAAATTTCTAAATAAAATATTAGCAAATTTAATCCAATAATATAGAAAAAGGAGTTATGCACCATGACCAAGTGGGATTTATTTCATGTACATGAAGCTGATTAAACCTTTCAAAACCAATCAATGTACTTCACCAAATCAACAGATTAAAAGAGAAAAACCATATCATCATATCAATTGATGCAGAAAAATAAATCTTAACAAAATTCAATACCCATTCACAATAAAAACTTTCAGCAAATGAAAAATAATAGAGGACTTCCTCAACTTGATAAAAAGCATCTGAAAAAAAACTACAGTTAACAAAAATAACTGTAAGAGACAATATTTTCTCTGTAAGACTGAGAATATGGCACGGACTTCTATCACCACTCTTATTCAACATAATATTGGATGTGCTAGCCACTACAACAAGGCAAGAAAAAAATAAAAGGCAGACAGATAAGAAGGGGAACAATAAAATTGTCTCTACTTGCAGATGAAATGAATGCCTATGTAGAAAAATCCCAAGGAATCTATAAAAAAGTTCATAGAATTAATAAGTGAGTTCAGCAAATTGACAGGTACAAGATCAACACACAAAAATTAATTGCATTTCTGTATTAACAATGAACATGTGGACTGAATTACAATCACTATAATATATACTGAAGGATGTAAAGGAAGCATTGAATAAATGGAAATATTTTTTTTTAATGGAAATATTTTTGAATGTAAAGACAGTATTAGAAACATGGCAGTTCTTCCCAAATTTATCTGAAAATTCAATTCCAATCAAATTCTCAACATTTCTCATAGAAGTGTACATGTACAAAAATAGCCAAGATAACTTTCAAATTATGATATGATAAATTATAATAATGCAAATAAAATATTTGAATAAAGTTAAATAGAGCTATTGAACAGGCTAGACAGTTTAGATGAATGTGGAAATGTACAGCTACTTTTATTATTTTAGTATACAATTGAACTTCAATTCAGTGGAGAAAAGATGAACAGCTCAGGAAGTGTTGAAAAATTTGATTATCCATTCATAAACAAAAATTTGAAATTGATTAAGGACTCTATGTGTGTGTGTGCGCATATGTGTTTTACACACACTTACCCCTAGAGGTGTTTATGCATGTGCACAAGGAGGTGCATAGATGAAAAATCATCTCATGATTATTTATAATAATAAAAACTCTGAAACAAATTGTCCATCAAAGCTAGAATCATGAAACAAATTATGGCATTTCCAAATATGAAATGCTATTTAATAGATAAAAAAATAAGGTACTGACATGAAAAAAAATCTCAGAGGCATATTGTTGGGAGTACAAAGCAAGTTATAGAAGATAATCAATAAAAAGTAATTATTTTTTTTATTTCTTTAAAAGAGCCAAACACCACACATTGCTGTAAAAAACAGAATAAATTTTATGAAGATTACAGAGCCTCTGTCTCCTGATCCCTGAGTTCAACTTTGACCTCTCAGAGGCCCTCCATTCAGGATTCTCTTCCTTAAAAAAACATGTCTCAGAGCAACCTAGAAAATGTCAGTTCTTCCACATTTGAATAACTCCTTCTGAGGGAGCTCCTTTGAAAGACATCAGGGTAGACATTCAATCCTCGCGGTCCTCTTCAATGATAGAAAAGAGGCTTAGGAACATAGTTTCTACAATGTTAGCAACTCTTTTGAAATACTGTATAGGTATTTCCTCCCTTGTAAGATGACAATTTAATAAATGTCCTCTAACATATTTAAGAGGAAAAAAATAGAGAGAGAGAGAGAAAGAGATGATAGCCACAGCCTCAGGTCAGGATGAGTAGCAAGTCATTCTGAGCAATGAATTAAGATTCTGACTGAATTTATCATATCTGTTTACCTGCTAGGCAGAAGACAAGCTAGTAAACTATAAATACTGGATCATTAGAGATTGTTCTCTTATTTACCAGATTGGATAGATAAATGTTCACCTTATTTCAGATCCTAAACTCTGGAGAGAACAGTGATTATTCTTATTTTATCGTATTTGTTTTGCAGGCTGTAATCTCTGCTTTATAGCTTACTAAGTAACATTTTATTGCTTACTAAATAACACCTCACTGCAAAACTCATTATCTTTCTTGACCTCAAACCAAACAAGGAGTTACAGAGGGACATGTATTGCTATGCCCATTTTCAAAAGAGAAAACGTGTAAGCTATTACAAGGCACGTGGCTGAGGAGAAAAAATGGTGTCATCATTACTGGTTGTTTTGCCACAGAATAACTACTTTCCTTTCAATAATAAAACTCAAATTTTGCTAGAGTAAGGGGTATACGCTTCTCCCTTGCATACTGTCTGGAGAAGCACTAACCAAGCTCTCTGTCTTCCCCCTGCAGTGGATGGGCATAGGATCTAAACTAGGCCAAAGTCACACTCTTGCTGGACTTTGAATCTTGAATAGATACACCAAGATGGCAAAACAAAATGATCAAATTGATCCCAGAGGCATGTCACTGTTGAGATTATCAACTAGTTTTCACCATCTTGGGGATCATACTGGCCCCTGCCCTCTCTGATGCTGAACCCTCTTCTTCAGTTTTTCCTTCACTTCTATGAGCCTCTTTCATTCCCAACAAGTCTCCCTTTATTCCCTTTAATTAACGGAATCAAATCTATTGCTTGCCACCAATAAACAACCACAGTACACAGTTGGCCACGTGCAGAGTTAGACAGGGCTTGTTTGAGTTTTGAGGCAGCTTGATGTCCACCCCACACCTCCTCCCCACTCCCCGCACAGCCTATTCCATCCTCAGTCACATGTCTTTCCTTTGCAGTTTCTTCCCATTCTCACCTTCCATAATGGGCACATATACTCAAAGTAGACTTCAATTTCCTTCCAACCTTCCTCCATCAAAATCTGCTTTCTGGAAGAAACTTGATGAACTCATTTGCACAAATATGTAGAAGAGTAGTTTGTTTTTTCTTTTATCCAAAAATTTTATTCAAATCCTCCTACATACATGTTACTGTGCTAAGAAAGATAATAGTGAAAATGAGAAAGATTTTTCCCCTGTCTTGCAGGCTGATAAATCTATCAAACCCTGCAAACTGCAGAGGATCTCGAATTATAGGATTCAGAGATCTGGAGGGAGAGAAGCTCTGGGGAGATGAAAGGGCTTCATTCCAATTCTGAAGTCAGATCAGATCTGAAGTTAGTAGCTGCTTACTAGTGTTTCCTGTTTAGGAATAAAGCCACATCTCTTCAACAGTGAATAGAATATCATCAATAGTATACAATGGGTTCACTGTCTTTTCCCTCCTTCTGTATTTTTATTACCTGTTGACATAGTGTCTCATCGTGGAATCCTCTTCAATGCTCAGGGTAACAGAAAACACTGACCAGATTTAGAACCCTTGATTGGGGAAATTGCTCTCTGAAACTCTCTACCTACAAAATTAAATAATTAAAAATAAAGAAAAATATCATTTACCTTATTACTGAAATTATTTTAATAGCTAACTTTAGAAAAATTAGAAAATTTAAATCAGTCAAAATGAGGTAAATAAGAACACCTGTAGCTCTACAACAGAGAGATTGCCACTATTGACAGGTTGGCTTCTATATTTTCATTCTTTACACTCATACGTACATGAATGATGCACCTTATTCATATGTATTTGCTTTTGAAAAACAGGGATTGTGTTTTAAGTAGTACTTAAATTACGAGTGGATATCTTTGAAACAGAACAGAGTTAAATTTAATCACAGTCGTAATCGTAATCTTTATAATTTACCATGCCAGGCACTGGTTTAGTATATTGAGTATTTGATCTCCTTTAATCCTTCCAACAACCTTATGATATTGGTATATTGTTATAAATTTTACAGATTAAGAAACTGAGGCTATAACCAGGCAACAGATCAAGATCCTGCCACTGGTTACTGGTGGATCTAGAAGTCAATCTCACATGAAATATGGATAAAGGGAGAGACCCAGAGGAAACTTTTTGAGCGATGCTGGCCCCCACAAGACAAAGTAATGAAGACCAAAGAGGTATGTCTGGAAGACTTGGGTTTCCTTGGTGAGGATACAACCAAAGCATTGTGACTCCCATCCAAGTTGTGTGCTGTGTTGCTGTGGTGAGTGACTATTACTCAACCTACCAAATTTAAAAGCTCCTTAAAAGGTGCCACAACCAGACACTTAGAGGAAATGGCTTTCACTTGTAACTGAATTATTCTAGCATGAATTATAGATTGTCGCTGCCTCACTAACCCAGAGAGGGGACGATGAAAGCAGGGTAGCACTGAAAGACTGGAGGTGAGCATCTGTGACAGGCATCTTTTCTATACAGTGCAGCAAGTAGGCTTCCCACCTAGTCCTGCCTCTTCCATGGAGAAGGAGTCAGCGTACAAAACTCCCACATTCCCTTGGCAAAAAGTCCCCACAAGGCAGATGTATGAACAAAACACCACCGGGCTCAAAGACAAAAGCTCTGGGGCAGGAGAGCCAGGTTCCTAATGTCTCTGTGAAGTGGATTCAAGGCCCAGGAAAGGCCTGACAGGTGCTTGAGGTCCTCAGGGCGGTTCTGACCTTAGAACATGACAGAGCAGCTTCTCCCATTTGACTATGTGTTTTATAGTTCTTCCTGAGGAAGGGGTGCTGCAAAGGTAAAAAGGCCTCCACCGGGCCTACTGGCTTCTCAGAGATAACTCCACAGAGGCTTCAGCTCTTTCCAGCTGGACCTGAACTCCATCTGCCTCTATCAGTTCCTGCCACTCCAAAGGCTGTGAGGGAAACCACTACACATAATAATAAAAAAGTATAATAAAAACAATAATAAAATGCGTAGCTCCACAAAACAGTCTCAAGATGGCAAACTGATTGCTTACCCTCAATAACCACTATCCAGTATCAAAATTAATAGAGAATAAAAACTTTTCTTAGCCTCAAAATATAAGATACCTCATAAATGCACAGGATTGGGATTAATTTTTGAGACCTTAGCATCTTTTCCCAAATGTCAAAACCTTTACTGAGACACCCTTCAGCTGCACACACAGGCCTCCAAAGAGACTCCTGGCCCATGCAGCTCCAGGTCTTCTCAAACCCCCACTTCGACCCCCTACAGCAGGCCTGAGAATAAGGCTCCATATTGAAAGAAAAAAAAAGGTTCAAAGTATGACTGTAATGCAAGCATGAACATTTTGTTTACTGACTGGAGAATCTCCTCTTCTTTTCAAGTAACTATAATTTAATGAACCAGAGGAAGATATAGTTCAACAGAGAGAATTTTTTAAAAGTCTCCGGGAGATAAGAGAAATAGAAATAAAAACAAAAATAAACAAATGGGACCTAAGGAAACTTAAAAGCCTTTGCACGGTAAAGAAAGCCATAACCAAGACGAAAAGAAAACCCTCAGAGTGGGAGAAAATATATGCAAATGAAGCAACTGACAAAGGATTAATCTCCAAAATTTACAAGCAGCTCATGAAGCTCAATATTAAAAAAACAAACAACCCAATCCAAAAATGGGCAGAAGATCTAAATAGACATTTCTCCAAAGAAGATATACAGATTGCCAACAAACACAAGAAAGAATGCTCAACATCACTAATCATTAGAGAAATGAAAATCAAAACTACAATGAGGTATCACCTCACACCAGTCAGAATGGCCATCATCAAAAAATCTACAAACAATAAATGCTGGAGAGGGTGTGGAGAAAAGGGAAGCTTCTTGCACTGTTAGTGGGAATGTAACTTGATAGAGCCACTATGGAGAACAGTATGGAGGGTCCTTAAAAAACTAAAAATAGAACTACCATATGACCCAGCAATCCCACTACTGGGCATATACCCTGACAAAACCATAATTCAAAAAGAGTCATGTGCCACAATGTTCATTGCAGCTCTATTTACAATAGCCAGGACATGGAAGCAACCTAAGTGTCCATCAACTGATGAATGGATAAAGAAGATGTGGCACATATACACAATGGAATATTACTCAGGCATAAAAAGAAACGGAATTGAGTTATTTGTAGTGAGATGGATGGACCTAGAGTCTGTCATACAGAGTGAAGTAAGTCAGAAAGAGAAAAACAAATACCGTATGCTAACACATATATATGGAATCTAAAAAAGAAAAAAAAATGCTTATGAAGAACCTAGGAGCAGGATAGGAATAAAGACGCACACGTAGAGAATGGACTCGAGGACATGGGGAGGGGGTAGGGTAAGTTGGGATGAAGTGAGAGAGTGGCATGGACTTATATATACTACCAAATGTAAAATAGATAGCTAGTGGGAAGCAGCTGCATAGCACAGGGAGATCAGCTTGGTGCTTTGTGACCACCTAGAGTGGTGGGATACGGAGGGTGGGAGGGAGATGCAAGAGGGAGGAGATATGGGGATATATGTATATGTATAGCTGATTCACTTTGTTATAAAGCAGAAACTAACACACCATTGTAAAGCAATTACACCCCAATAAAGATGTTAAAATTAATTAATTAATTATTTTTAAAAAATTCTCCAGGAGATAAAAATAAATTGCTGTGTTAAGTATATCCCTTGATGTGTCATGCTTGTCCAAAGATGCAGTTATATATGCACTAAAGAAGTACTGGCTATTTTTACAACCTTTTCCCCCATGTTAGTACCTTGTACGTGAGAGGGGATCATTCATTCACTTGTTCAAACATTTCTTGAGCAACTCCTTTGTGCCAGTTTGTGCCATCCCTGGGGATACAGAGGTGACGATAATATCGCCCCTGTCCAAAAAAGACACAAAAGTTTAATAGATTAGGTGACCAAAAAAATGAGAATAATTTAAGCATGAAGTGCTTCACAGAGTGTGATGTCTACAAAGTACCACGGGACCTAAAGGAAGCGTGGGGGAACCTCAGAGTGAAGAGTCAATAGAATTTGTCAAGAAATAATTTTTTCAGGAGACTGGTTCAAGATGGCGGAGTAGAAGGACGTGCTCTCACTCCCTCTTGCGAGAACACCAGAATCACAACTAACTGCGGAACAGTCATCGACAGGAAGACACTGGAACTCACCAAAAAAGATACCCCACATCCAAAGACAAAGGAGAAGCCACAGTGAGACGGTAGGAGAGGCACAATCACAATAAAATCAAATCCCATAACTCCTGACTGGGTGACTCACAAACTGGAGAACACTTATACCACAGAAGTCCACCCACTGGAGTGAAGGTTCTGAGCCCCACATCAAGCTGCTGAACCTGGGGGTCTGGCAATGTGAGGAGGAATTCCTAGAGAATCAGACTTTGAAGCCTAGCGGGATTTGATTTCAGGACTTCGACAGGACTGCGGGAAACAGAGACTCCACTCTTGAAGGGCACACACAAAGTAGTGTGCACATCGGGACCCAGGAGAAGGAGCAGTGACCCCATAGTAGACTGAACCAGACCTACGTGCTAGTGTTGGAGGGTCTCCTGCAGAGGCAGTGGGTGGCTCTGTCTCACCGTGAAGACAAGGACACTGGCAGCAGAAGTTCTGGGAAGTACTCCTTGGCATGAGCCCCCCTAGAGTCTGCCATTAGCCCCACCAAAGAGCCAGGGTAGGCTCCAGTGTTCGGTCACCTCAGGCCAAACAACCAACAGGAGGCAACCCAGGCCACCCATCACCAGTCAAGCAGATTAAAGTTTTACTGAGCTCTGCCCACCAGAGCAACAGCAAGATCTACCTACCACCAGTCCCTCCCATCAGGAAACTTGCACAAGCCTCTTAGATAGCCTCATCCACCAGAGGGCAGGCAGCAGAAGCAAGAAGAAGTACAATCCTGCAATCTGTAGAACAAAAACCACATTCACAGGAAAACAAGAAGTAAAGTCAGAGGGCTATGTAGCAGATGAAGGAACAAGATTAAACCCCAGAAAAAAACTAAATGAAGTGGAGATAGGCAATCTGCCAGAAAAACAATTCAGAATAATGATAGTGAAGATGATCCAGGACCTCGGAAAAAGAATGGAGGCAAAGATTGAGAAGACGCAAGAAATGTTTAACAAAGACCTACAAGAATTAAAAAACAAACAGAGATGAACAATACAATAACTGAAATGAAAACTACACTAGAAGGAATCAATAGCAGAATAACTGAGGCAGAAGAACGGATAAGTGACCTGGAAGAGAGAATGGTGGAATTCACTGCTGCAGAACAGAATAAAGAAAAAAGAATGAAAAGAAATGAAGACAGCCTAAGAGACCTCTGGGACAACATTAAACGCAGCAACATTTGCATTATAGGGGTCCCAGAAGGAGAAGAGAGAGAGAAAGGACCTGAGAAAATATTTGAAGAGATTATAGTGAAAAACTTCCCTAACATGGGAAAGGAAATAGCCACCGAAGTCCAGGAAGCACAGAGAGTGCCATACAGGATAAACCCAAGGAGAAACACGCTGAGACACATAGTAATCAAATTGGCAAAAATTAAAGAAAAATTATTGAAAGCAGCAAGGGAAAAATGACAAATAACATACAAGGGAACTCCTGTAAGGTTAAAGCTGATTTCTGAGCAGAAACTCTACAAGCCAGAAGGGAGTGGCATGGTATACTTAAAGTGATGAAAGGGAAGAACCTAGAAACAAGATTACTCTACCTGGCAAGGAACTCATTCAGATTCAATGGAGAAATAAAAAGCTTTACAGACAAGGAAAAGCTAAGAAAATTCAGCACAACCAAACCCCTCTACAACAAATGCTAAAGGAACTTCTCTACGTGGGAAACACAAGAGAAGAACAGGACCTACAAAAACAAACCCAAAACAATTAAGAAAATGGTAATAGGAACATACATATCGATAATTACCTTAAATGTGAATGGATTAAATGCTCCAACCAAAAGACACAGACTTGCTGAATGGATACAAAAAACAAGACCCATATATATGCTGTCTACAAGAGACCCACTTCAGACCGAGGGACATATACAGACTGAAAGTGAGGGGATGGAAAAAGGTATTCCATGCAAATGGAAATCAAAAGAAAGCTGAAGTAGAAATACTCATATCAGTTAAAGTAGACCT